GGGTTAGTTAATTTTCGTGTCTCAATATATGACCCATCATGTTCTATCGCCTTGTTCTGATGACTTTGAGTATCTCTCTTTGTTCCTCTAATTCATTGAGTATGTTTTGGTTATATATATATATATTAAATATAATTGGCGAGAGTGGACAAGTTTGTCATACATCCTTCCTAATTATCGCTATCTCTTTTTTTTCTGTTACTTTTATTGTAGCTGATTGGTTGTTGTATAAATTATATATTATCCTTCTGTCTCTATAGTCAGCGCCAATTTCTTCTAATGCATAAAATAGTTCTTTCCACGGTACATTATCAAAAGTTTTTTCTAGATCCATAAACACTATAAATGTGTCTTTATTAAATTCTATTTGTTCTTCTATTAATATTCTTTAGCTTAAGATTGCTTCTCTAGTACTTTTGTTCCTTCTGAACCCGAATTGATCATTGCTTAAATCTTTTTATACTATGTTCTCGATTCGGATGCATATTGTTTTTATTAGGATTTTGGCTGCATGTGCCATTAAACTTATCGTTTTGAATTCATTATATTTATCAGCCGTTACTTATTTAGGTATAGATTTTATAATTCTCTCCTTGAAATCTTGGGGGATTTCTCCCATAGTGTATGTATCAATTAGTAATTTAAATAGCCCATCATGTAATTCTGTACTCGCATTTTGTATAAGTGCCATTGTTATGTTGTTTATACCTGCTGCTTTACATGTTTTCATTAGCTTCAAAGTTTTATTGAACTCGTCTGACTTCCTCTGCATATCTGGGTTTTTATTATTATTATTCGAATTGGTTGTTTCTCTTTTTTAGTATAAAATTTCAAGATATTGTTTCTTGTTGCTATTTTATCGTTGTCCAGTATCAAGTTTCCATCTATATCTCATATTTTGCTGTTTAGTTTCGTTTTTCCTCCGAAAAATGTCTTAATTATTTTAAACGCTTGATCTATCTTATTATTTCTAAGCAATTGTTCCACTTCTTGGAACTTTTCTTTTAACCATTTCTCTCTTGCAAATTTCGTTTCTCTATTTTATTCTTTATCTCTTTATATCTTCGTATCCCATGATTATCCTTGATGTTTTTATACTTTCTTCTCTCTTTAATATCTTTTATAATGTTATCGTTTATCCATGGTTTCTTAGATTCTGGTAAGTTTTTTTCAAAATGTTGCTGGCTGCTTCATGTATTACATTTTTTATTATATTCCATTTATCTTTATTGGTATCATTTGGAAATTGCGGGTTTAATATTAATTTTTCATTGATGTAGGATGTGTAGACTATATTTATGTTATTATCTTTTAGGATTATTAAATCATATTTCCTTATTTTTTAGGTTATTCTTGTTAGTTTCATATATACTACATTTCATCAGTAAGAGATTATGGTCGCTGTTTACTTCAGCGCCTGGGTATGTTTTGCATCTATGTATCTGATTTCTGAACCTCTTTCTCACTATGATATAGTCGATTTGATATATATTCGGATATCCCCTGGGATTTTCCAAGTGTATCTTTTTTCTGTGGTGAATATTTTGGAATGTGTTGGCTATCATGTTGCATGCATAAGTCAACAAGGTAGTCGTCTCTTTCATTTCTAGTTCCTAGTTCGAATGCTCCTACTTCTTGATTTTCTGCACCTCCCACTATTTCATTCCAATCTTTCATTATTATTAAATTATCTTCTCCTTTTGCTAGTTTACAAAGCTCTTCTATTTTTGGGTTTATTAGCTCTAAGCTTAATTAATATAGGACTATAATTATATGCTATTTTGTTAACCATTTGATGGCCCCATTTTTTATTTATAATAAATCTTCACCAGCCCTTCCTAGTTTTTCATCACCAGAATAGATGACACGTAAGTCGTTTGACCAGAAATCACCATTTCCTGACCATCTAACTTCGCTCACTTCTAGTATGTTTGTGTCCAATCTCTTCATTTCTAGTTTAATATCTTCTAATTAGCTAGTATTTAGTATAAACCTAACGTTCCATTTTCCAATATTTTTCTATGGATTTGGCTTACTGATGACCCGAGAAGCCATGAAAATTCTCCTGTTGGCACTGACATTTCCGAATATATCTGTTGCTGTAACTTTTAAACCTTCTTCTAGTTGATCCATATTGTTTTACAAGGAATCATAATGTGATGGGTTCCCTCTCCTTCCACATAGCAGTACTTGAAATAACTTCAAGCTGCCACCATAAATTCCTCCCATTGCCATTACTTTTGCTGCAAATGGTATTTATATATATATATATATATATATATAATACTTGACAATGGTCGGTAGTAGCGATAACTGCTGCCTTCCACTACAATTTATAATATAATTATATTAATCATATGAATTTATAATTATTTTAATTTTTTAAACTAAAATACTCCCGTTTCACCAGTCACCACACTGAATTTTTAATAACTTTTTGTTTTTACAAACCTTTACAAACGACATATAAACGTAATGTATTGTTTAAATGGAAAAATTGCTGATTGGGGGAGGGGTTGGGGAAATGTGCCTAGTGTGTACGACAGGTATGTGTGTAGGTTAAATTATAGACTGAAATCAATTTTTAATATTCTAATAATAAATAAACGAACTAAACTTTATTAAAGAAGGAAATAAACTAGAAAAGTTTTGTATAAATTCTAATATTATTAGATATGACTTTGTTTAACAAGAACACTATTTACTTTTGAATGAAATTTACAGAGTAAATATTTAATACAATTTAAAGTTTATTTTTTGGGTTTTGTAAATTGTCATCTTAATAATTATATAATAAATTCCCCTGTCGGGAGGATAGTCCTATTAAATTTAATTTCAATTTTAACTGAGTATATAAAATGTTGATATTATTTAAATGGTTTTCATAGCTGTAGTCTTTGTAGTAATTATTATAAAAATACTTAATTAAGTAATTAAGTCAACAACTACAGTGTAACTTTTAGGTGGATTACCTTGAATGTTTAAATTCCAAAAAATATCACATTAACACGAGTATTTTCACACCTGAGAACTTTTATTTAAAATTGAGCATTATAGCTTGTGTATTTTATTTAATAATCATAATCCTAATATTTCTGATCATATAAGCTACATTTTTCTATGAAAATGTTTTTATTATATTTACCCACAGAATAAATTTAGTAAATTTATACGTATAATTTGTAAATTATTTACAGTCAGAAAAAGATTATGTGTCAATATATCTTCTTTAATTATATAAACGTGACATTACTTTCTTTTAAACGGTTAATCTCAGGAATTACGTGACCGATTACACAGACTTTATTTTTGATTTATAGACAATTTTGTATAGATGGTTTTTTAGCTTTTAATTTTTTCAATACCTTATATAATAACTTTAAAAATATTAGTCCGTAATTGCTTGAATGTATGATCAGGCGTGTAGCCAAGGGGGTGTTACAGGTGTAGTATTATCTTTCTTTCTCTTAACCGTGTTATATTTAAGATATTTATCGTAAGTCGTAATGAACACATTTTTATCATAACAAAATATTTTACATATTACGATAATAATAATTTAAAGCCGGGATCCGACTTCTCATTATACTGTTTTGTCTAATAAACTAAATCCGTGGTTTTGTGTCATTTCATGCACGATTTAAAATATATATTTGTATATATATTTATATATAAGAGACACAATGTACATTTGAAATTCTAATAAAATATTTAAATACTTTCTCATACATAACTACAGTAATTATAATTACCTCAGTGAATTTCTACATATTTTCTAGCAATAATTATTTCATTCATTATTCATATTTTAGTGGTCGGTGAATCACTGAATAACATTTGGTGATAATATTACAAATATATTTAAATTAGATAATATTAGTACAAGTATTGTTTTTGAAAAGCTAAAATCATTAGTAACTATAAAAATGGTCATGGTTTGTCGAGGTTTCTGTTACGAGGGCTGAAAAATAAGTGTGATGATTTAATATGATATATATTATTATAATAATAAACTGTTCACCTTACCTACCGAAGGACAACGAGGTGTTGGTTTTTTCTTCTTTGTATTTTGGTTAGAGTTCTCATCGTCACTTCAGCTTTGTAGCGTGTCATCCGCGTGCGTGTTTAATACCGCATCTGTTATCTCGTAAATTCTGCCGCCATCACCGTTTCTCCCCCGACTACCCCGTCAACAGATTCACGCCAGTTTGCAAACACACTTAATTAAAGTTCTCCGTACACACGGCCGCTGCGTTCCGCTGATTAACATCATTATCTCCATAAACAACAGCATTAAAATATTCGCGGTGCATATCGTGTATATGAGAATATGGCATCGCGGTTGCAATTCGCCTTGCGTTTTCCGTAGGAAACCGGTGAATATTTTTTTCCGCTTCCGGTTTTTTTTTTTTTTTTATTATTATACCGTTATTGTTACTCGCCGCTTGCTAATCATCGTCCAGAGTTTGGAGTTCATATAGCGGGGATTTTCCTGGGAGATAATTCATTGCCGTTTGATTAAACATCGCCGCCACAAAGAGAACCGGGTCTTTTGAGCTCTGGTCCACGCACCGACCCTTACCGAGTCTCAATGTAACGTCCCTTCGCCACCACCTCCCACTTCTCCTATCGCTCCTCGACACGCATACGAATAGTGCGGACAGGATGAGCACGCCGACTCAGACGAATTGTTGGAAAGGTGCGTTGGGGTAGCACGTGCGATGGGTGGGAGGGTATCCGGGTGTGATTAAATAAACCGGTAATTGGTCGGGAAAACGTGAGGGACGCGCGTCGCGTTTGGCTCCACCCGCCGCCGGCGACCGGACGAACGGCGTAGATTGCGCACAAGTGGAGGAAGGTTCTGGCGGGCGATGGTTTCTGTCGTGGTAGGGCGATCGGGGACGTTCCCCCCGGCCTTGGCGCGCGAGACCGGAAAATACGGTTTTTCGGCGCACACCGGCGGCGGCCAAGAGGCGCGCGCGTGCCGATCGCACATCATCGCCCAGTACCGAAATCTCCGCGCCGGCCGGCAGTGTGCTACCCGACACCCTTCGCGTAACATCGTTGCCGACGACGGTCCCGCTGCCGTGCCGTTCTCGACGTGCGTACTCACGCGGTGCCGACGACGATCGCGGGCGCTATCCTCAGTATCACGTGTGCACACCGCTGTTGGTGCACGCGCACGGATCACGTTATTTTTGATTTCCCGTACCGCTCGTAATTCTCCCATCGAAATTTCGGGTCGTCGGACTTCTAGCCGGTGGATAACGACGAGTCCAACAACAGGTACCTATTGCTCTATGTATGTGATGTGTACATGTCGTACAGTACAAACATCGTTTCCGTTGTTCGCGTACACGGAATATATTGGAAACCCTGAACTCGTGGACTTCCGCAGGATTGTATCCATCGGGGGCTCCTCATTATGCTTTCTTGACGAGAACTAAAATTATATTCGCTTGTCATAGACTGCGTGTAAATTGAACGTCTACGACAAGACATCTTTGTGTTTTGCAAAATTAAATGTTTATACAATATATTACACTATGAGATAAATATATATATATATATATATATATATAATTACTCCGATTGGTACAACAAACTGAGACATATGATCCGATCGTATGACTCGAAGATAACGAATTAAGATTTGTCTAGCTTATTTTTTGACGCGATATAATAAGAATTTCCAGGACAGTTTTTAGTTTCTGTTGAAAAATCGTGTTAACTCCATGTGTCTAGTTGTATTGTCTCAGATCTCTAATCATTAGAGACATGTTCAGCGAGATTTTTTTTTGTGGCCCTTAAGGAATCCCTACGACCTATAAGTTTTTCGAAACGCGTCATCAAAAGAGACAACTCGTGATCTATAAATAGCCGGGAATTTCTCGCTTCCTGCAGCAGTACGATGAAAAATTCCCGCCAATTTTCCGTTTACCGATATTTGTTATTGTTGTGCGTTTATTGATTTAACAATAATTTGTTAATGCGTTATATACGATTTTATCAGTAAAACAGGAAATTATGCGTTTTTTGTAGATACATATGGATAATTAGAACATTGGTTAGGTATTAGAAGTATTATTATATTAACTTTTTACTATTCATTTTTAATATTTTATCATAAATATAATGTAAAACTAATTAATATCCCAAACTTTTGAATAACTCGTTGCATCAGTTTACTATGGAAGTACTTCCAAAAGTAAACTTTGTCTTGGTCCGGTTTTTAGGTTCAGTTAAAATATTTTATGTTAAAACGAAAAAACGATGAAATTTTATGTACAGATTTTAAAAATAGAAGATATAAATAATAACTTGTTAAACTATTTATAATATTTGAAGTATTACTAGAATGACGTTACTTTATTGCTGTTATTGAACAACGTGATATGTTTTATATTATAAAACGAGTAAATTTTCCGATACTTAACAAAAAGCTTAATAGCGTTTATGATTTATCATAGAAATATAGTTTATATCATACTAGGTAGTACGTAATATCAACATTTTGCTATATTCAGTGTATAAACTTTAACTGAGAACATTCAGTGTCTTTGCGTGGATCCTTGCAATTTAAATTCAGTATTTTAAATGGTTATAACATAAAAATACACATTTTTATGACCTTTGCATTTTTTAAATTAAATTACACAAGTGCAAGCGCAGTAAACTTATTATTATTCTTAAATATCAATAATCTATTTTAACCATTAATAATTTTTTGCCTAAAATTTTAATGTATTTTAATAGTTTCACCAACTTTTGAAGTCCAAAATTGACCAAGTTACAGCAATTTAACAAAAACAAACAAACCGGTTAATGATTATATGCGAAATTTTCAGTTTTTGACTGTTAACTCTGACAATACTTATTCTAAGATTGTTTGCACTTGACATTTTCATCCCAATTTATTTAAGTGATATTTACACATTATTATAATTTTAACTACTGTTAATTTTTACTTTAATTTGCGAAAGTGTTATAACTTAAAGTAGAAAAAAAATGTCTGTAACTCTAAGAGAAAATATTATTTTTAATTTCTACGGCGTTCTAGCTCACATAATTCGCGTCTAAGTACAGCTTCCAATATTTCGATAGCTTGAAATTACGGACAATATTAATATAATCTACCTAATCTTATACCATTAAATTTATGTTTATAGGGTCGCTAAAAAATAGTTGTGTATGCTGACCACCTATAAATATATAACATTTAAAAGATAAAACAACAGTAGCATGCATTCAACTAGTTAGTTGATTGTATGCTGCCGTTATTAATGAATTTGATATGAACATATTTTAGCTGTAATAGATAAATTATTTATGCTGTATGCTGTTTATGTTTTGTTCATACCGTACAACAATTTTAACAGTTTATACGTTAAATTATTTAATAACTAAATAAACTTTGAACTTAAATGAGAATTAAATTGATCTATTAAATATAACGAAAAAAATAACATACTTATTGAATAATATATTGCATCAAATTTTATCGTATTCAATTTTACATAATCTTAATAGACTTATAGAATTATTAATCCAGTATAATGATAAATAAATAACTTAACATCATACATAGTTTGAAAAAGTTCAAAAACAATTCATGTCATCACTATTTGGTATATTACTTGTATGTCGATCATTTATTAATTTTTATTCATTCAATAGCTAAATTATTGATTTTTTTTATATATTTAGATTATATAGTTTCAAATAAACATTAATATATTTTAAAAATATTTCTGTTAGCTTAATATACAATTTTAAATAATTCAGTAAATAAATAATGATCGGTTTTGGGAAGATATTTTATACTTCCAAATTTTTTTTTTTAGTTTTTCTTATTCATTGAAAACTACTAAAAAATCGAAAAATTACCACTTTAAAGTACCATTTGTGTTCAATTTTAGAACTAAAAAGTTACTGAATGAAACTCTTGTTGCAAATTTTTTACCCAAAAGTTTAAAATGAATCTTATTAATCGATCAGTTTAAAATACAGAAAAGGTAAAAATTTCAAAAGGTTTCAGCTTTATAGAATATATTTTTTATTTAACTATCGATTTTATTAAATCCAAATTACGTGTACCTATAAAAATATGAATATTAATATGTTATATCAGTATACTAAAATCGAAATTTGAATAGATTAAACTAAGAACATACAACTATAAATTAATACAGTAGTAAATAAATTACAACTACTTAAATTTCAATAAATACTAAAAATAATTCTCTAAAAAAAAACTAAGAATTTCACCCTTTTAGATAGGTCTTTTTTTCTAATAACTTTTTCTTAAGGAATTTATAAGCTGAACAATTTTTAATCATTTTTATCACTTATATCATATCAATAGATCTTCTATTGTAAATTATATACACCTATTAGGATTTTAAGAATCCATATGTTAATTTCTTAAGAATAAACAGAATAAAAAAAAAAAAAATGGATATTATATTTTAATATTAAGTAAAATAAATTATACTTTTCTTCGTAGTACATTTTAAAGAAACCATGTGAAAAAGAAATTAATAGAAAGAAGTCTTTATGTAAAATCAATGCAAAATAAATGAAGTTTTAATCAAACCAAAATTGTTAAATTTTAATCACTCTCTTGAAATAATAGTTTTCAAAATGGTTTCTTCAAAATATCACGTGTTCATTTTTATCGAGATGCAATATAAAAATGTCCAGAAGTTTTTATTGCCCTTAAAAATTGTTTTTTCCAATAATATAACATTTTAAAGCTGGTGGTTGTTCATTTCGTTCAGTATCTTTTATTCGTATTTTTTATTATACATAAATGCTTATTTTTACCACGGATTTGATAATGTTGATACGTGCTTAGATGACCGGTCAGTAGTTTAACTATATAAATGTTACTGAGGATCAATCATAAAGGTCCCAGATTCCAAGTTCTAAACATATTAATTTATTTTCATAAAATATTTTGACTACCATGATGCTGACATCTGAATGAATATCCCATATTTTTTATGTTCAATACTGATCTAATTACGTTTTCATTATTTTGTACATATATGATGGTTGTAACTTTAGTCTGTTGATAATTATAGTTATCATAGTACCACCATATATTTTATAATAATATTATTTTATATGTTGACATTTATAGCTTATAATCGGATAGGAATAATGGTAGTATGATAAATAATGATAATATTCATTTTTATTGACATTAAATTAATTAAATTGTCTTAATTATATTCACCTTGAGAGTATTATTAAAATGTATTATGTGTTGTGAATATGTTGATTTGAATTTAATATATGTTAACAATCTTTATGAATTTATATAATAAGAATTATTGAGGGTATTTTATTTAGGACTTAAGAATGAAGTATAGAAATCAGAAAATTAGAAATAAATAAATAAAATGAACATACAATACATAGATAAGCAAAAATAATTAAAATCCATTTATTCTATGTTGAATTCTTTGATTGCTTCATTATAAGTTATTGAATTAGTTACCTCATGTTCAATAAACATAAATAATAACGCATCTTGTCGTTCATGAATCATCGTAGATAGTAACTTTGTTTTTACTATACCCAATTGTGAAAAGGAACGTTCACAAGATTTTATGTGTTTTGTTGCTAGTTAACATTGTTTAGATTGGATCTGGTTTTGCCATAAAAGCACAATTCTTTATTTGAAGAAGACATTTTATATAAATTATAAATAATTTACAGTAAGAACTAAGAATCCTAGGATTTATATTTTATAATCACTAGTCCACCGCAAAAAAAAAAAATATTTAATCAAATCAGTTGGCATATGTAACTTACTATATACCAGGTTTATGATAATGGTATTCACTGTCAACAATTTAGCAGTGAAAGTATAAAGCTGATGATAGAATAAACGCCATAGAGCCACAATCAACTAAGATTACCATAATTAATATATTCTCTGTAGAGCTTACCGTCTGGAATGTGATAATAAACACGATATATTTATTATCAGTAATCGTCAAACACAATTGATAAAAAAGTTCTTATTTTCCAAAAAAATGAGTGTTTGGCTCTTTTTATCTAAGTACCTAGTTTCTGCAAAACAAAAAGTCTTAGGTTTGGCTTTAACCTTATAAGCCACACATGTTCGTACGCCTAAGTGATCTTATGGAATGTTTAGGTATAAAGATGATAATAAATTAAATAAAAATCAATGCATTGAAAGTATTATCAAAATATATTTGAATTGCAATATTGCTAATAAATAATTGTAAATAATTATTAGAATTACTCTCCATAGTTATAAATAAATTATTAATATTTTTGATTTTTATAGCTGTGCCAGTTTTTTTTCAATGCAATCGTTGATCATTTATTGGAAATGGAAACGCTGGTCAACAACGCAGTCTGGAACCTGATTGTTTGTTTTTGTCTTTTAGGCACAAGTATGTAAATCTCATTTTTTTATTTAATTGTATGAATGCTGCTTGATTTACCCATGTGTTATGGTGTATTTTAAAAAAATAATAATCTATTATGTGATGTACTTTGTTGATACCTTACCTGATATAATTCGGGACGAAACAAACGAAATATATGATTGATGGACGGTGTTGCGTGATGCGTTTGTCTGTTTTCATTTTGTTTATGAATGCAAATTGAATACGGGAAACTCAAAATCATGTGTGTTCTTCGCAGAGAAAAATATAATGCATTGCTACATTTCCCTTTCTCATATACTGTTAATAAGGTCCGTTAATGTGACAATGTTGTATACTGTATAGGCTATTTGCTAAATTTTTAGTTTCACAACTTTATATCGTTAATTTTACACGTGTACGAGTGAAATACAAAAATAAATAATAACATTTTAAACAATAAACATACAGTATGTGGATAAAATTATATTTGTTCTTATAGATATTAATACATTTATATTAAAATATATAAACATTTATATACAAATATATTTACAATTGACTTAGGTTCAACTTTAGTGATTGATCGCTGATTTTATATTAGGGCTAGTATATTTTAAGCCTTACATTTTTTAGTCATATTGTTTACGAATTGTATTATATTATATTGGAAATCATATGTATTGTTTGTTTGAAATTATCGAATGTTTATATTTCAAGTTATCAATATAAATATAATTGGAAATTATTTAATAGATATTAACTTAATTAATATGTATAAAATGTAATAATCCTTGAATCATTTTATGTAACTGATATTTCATATTAGATAAACAATTGTGTCTTATTTAAAGAAATATTTTATATTTAAGGAAGTTTAAAATATGTAACTTTTTGGTATCGCGAACATATAATTTTAATTAGACATTTTATCGACATATTAGGTTTAAAATATTTAAATTAAATTAATTACTTTAATTTTATTATATTAATATAAAATAGTTGACACTTAAATTAAAGATAAAAAAAAGATAAAAAATATTGGTTCCAAAGAAAGGATTTAAATAATTGAATTTACAATTGTAAACTTATAGGTGAATTCCACTAGTTGCATTTTATAAAAACTTTAAATGATACTAAGGCACGCAATAAAAATGTAATGCAAAAATTAGTATTTATTCTATTAATTTAATCATGGTGTTCATTAGCTGGGTATATATTATTTAATAATTGGTGATAATAGCAGAGGTATGCTTAATATTTAATATAAATCCACACAGAATTTGTCAATCATAACAATTAAAACAATATTTACATATTATTGGAATTAAAATATTAAAAATAAAATCTTTATAAAACATTGAATATATATTTAATTTTTCATGTTCAACCTGAAACATATTATAAGAATTTATTAACATTCGAAAAAAAATATTTAAAAATAAATGAAAATTTAAAATTCTAAATATCTAATAATTAATTATATTTATATTATAACGAATGGATATTGAACATTAATAAAATATTTTAATTTTATTTTAAATATTCATTAAATATTTATTTATTATATACATATATAATGTAATAATTAGTGAAGCGATAATACGTATTTTTGATTTGATTAAAAATAAAAAAATTCAAAACTTATAAAAGCATTTTTTAAAAATTGCAATGATACGGTATCCGACCATTAAGCTTTAAACAGTCTTCTTATATAAAAACTATCCAGGCTTTTCAATAAATTTCCTCTTGTCAAATAACATCAATATATAAGAGGTATACTTGTATTTCTCAAATTAAACACTCCAAAATGACCTGAAAATTGAACCAGTTTTTGTTATAGTAAATAATTATTACAGATATTTTAAAAAAAATTAAAGTATAACACTAATGCACTTTATGTTTCAGCATTTACAGAATGTAGATATTTTTATTTTAAAATAGAAAAAATAAAGATAAGATTTATGATATTTCATAAATTTAATATGATATTAAATTTAATATTTAATAAATTTTAATATATATTTCAATTTTATTGAATGGTCCTTTTATACGTAAGTCAACAAATCTGAAATCTTCGGCAAAAAGTCAGTCTAATGCACTTAAATTAACCAACTGTGAGCAGACTTTATCTTCTGGCAATATTTAAAACACCTCTTTGTTATGGCATTTTTCTTTAATCATTTTCATTGTTTATCTTTCTAAAACTCTTACATTTTACAATCATGATAAAATTTATTTAAATAATAATTTTAAAAACGTTTTTTTATTATTATTTTTTATTTACTTCATAAAAAAAATTACATTTTTGAAAGGTAATTTTTTCTCTAAACACTGAATAAACATAGTGTCGTTTTAAATGCAGCAACTTAACAAACAAACAAGGGATAGGAGAAATCGTTTTTAAATCCTGTGTTTGCATGACCTCTCTTTGGATTCTCGTGATGGCAACCAATCATGTTATACCTTGTCACTATTAATTCACTTATGTTCAGATGGTGTGCCTACTTTTGATGGAAAGGGGAAAAATAATAAAATGAATAAGGTTAAAAAAAACCATACACATCTATTACAATAAATAATACGCACACACACTTACACATATGACCTTTCTGCGATATCGCCAAAATACCTCGTCTATTTGTTTAACATGTTACCGTGACATAAGACATGTATACATTTTTTTGGCAGGATTTTTATATTTGAATAATACATAAACAATGAAAAATGCCAGAAGACAGTTTTAAAGAAGGGACCATAAATGCACAATAAATAAAGTAATAAAATGAATGATTTAAAAATTTCACAGTTTGGTATTTCCTTCTCGTTTATTCATTTTTTCTGTTAAAATTTGTACTTCTTCTATTTAAAGGCACATAATACGTTGGATTATATGATATGAACAACAAAAAATATTTGTTTAAAAATACTTGTTTCTTCATTAAAAACTAATGAACATATTTATGTTTTTGTATTTATAATACATTTTAAACGTAAGTGCGCAAGATAGTTAATTATAGGCTATACTAGAAGTGATGTGTTAAATGTGTAATAGTTTTATGTATGATCGGTTTCTACATTTGTAGGCTTTTGTTTTTATCGTTTTATTATAGTTTCATATACATACAATGTTTAATATAGTTAAATTTAACATGATATTATTATAAAAATGCATATAATATAAATGCTGAGATATTTTATACATTTTGTTATAAATAAATGTTCTTTAGGTTGCCATGATAGCCATGTAGCATTAGATCAGTGTTAACATGAAATAATTATTCTTCATTTTTTTTTTCATTGAAGAAACAATTGAGTTAAAATGTACAAATGTAATATATTTAAATTGACAAAATATTTTGTTGAATAAATAACCTCATATTATAAATATAATACATATATGTAGTTAATTAACATGTGAAATACTAATTAAAAATAATTAAATCATCATGCATGGTTCTTATTGATATGATTTTGTGAATTGTCGATTTTTATATGTTATAACTATGCCTAGTTACGTAAATTGAGTATACAAATATTTTACTATTAATTAAAAATGGATGCTAATAATGATAAAAATTCAAACATAAACCGTATAGAAAAGTGTCTAGAGTCGTTATTGTATCCATCATTGGTTCGCGTGCTCGATGATGCTTACAAGTCAGACGCTATAAATTACAGTCACAAATTTCGCCAAATTTTCATGAATAGACTAGTCGAAGATCTATGGAAAAATAATCCGTTGCATCCAGAACGTAAGAATTCAAATATATGTAACATGCCATTTTCTACATTCAGCAGTGATCAGCTGCGACCACCACGAACTTTTTCTTGGGGTATGTCTCGGAACCAAGCTGCTATTATCATACAGGTAATTTAGTAATCAAATTGTTCTGAAATCTTATTTTACCTCGAACTACTTATAGTATTAGCATAGTGCTAACTATATTAGTTAAAGTAAGCGTGGGAAAATGAATATTTTCTAATAGTTTACAATTTTTTTTATTTAATAACTTAAGTTTCAAAAGCGTACAACTTTACAAATTTAATTAGGTCATACTTAAATTACGACTTTTTTTAAGTAATAATGAAATAAATGAGATAAAAAAAAAAAATAGTTGATTTTATTAAAATGCACATTTTAAGTTATTTTAATGTTAGGTATTGAAATATTTAAGGGAAGTAGATTTTGAATGAAATACTTGTATATGTATTTTATAGTATGAATATAATTAGAATTACTTTACTAAACTATACGATATCTCAAAAGGAAAAATTCTGTTTATTTTAGAACTAAATTTTATTGTTTTCCATTTAATTAGACGTAAATATTTAAAATGATTATTGCAAAGTCAATTCATTAAAGATAAAAGAAGTTTTAGGCCGTGGTTAATCGTATTTTATCTTATTGGACATAAAATTGATAATTTGTCGAATTAATTTTAAATTTTCCCTCAAAGTCAAATTTATCAAAAGTATGATAAACTATTTTGTACAGTCGGCGTATCGTGCACATACAGTCCGGATACGGCCTGACGTTGCGGAAATGAGGGCTTTCTGGCGAGCACTGACGACCAAAGACCACGAGTAGATGCGCACTGCAGTTGTGTGTTGTTGTCAAATACTCCGACGACAAAGAATGAATTGAACTGTGAATATTTTTCAGCTATTAAAATGTCTTATGTGTGTTGCAACAATGTACTAGATTTTTCGAATCATTACCGTTGCAACGCAAATAAAATATCTCCCCTATAGTTGCTGTTATACGGAAAATATTAGTCATATTTTTTAAAGTTCTCACTGACTATCCTTTTTCCTATATAGTTTGCCATCCCCTTCTTTTATATCTGTTGACCTTTCATTTCATTCACTGAACTACCAATAGGTCTTACAACAACAACGGTTGACCCCCGGACCCTTAAGGAGTATCAATTCACGAGGACCAAGTGGAGGCATTCGTTACATTCAAATTGTACCTAGAGTATGATATAGTGTATTATAGCATTTTATGTAATAATATATGTTTTGTTCGAAACGCTTATCCATAATTCACTATGAAAATGGTAAATAATAATGCGTATGTGTTGTTAGCAAAAAAAAAAAAAAATCAATTACCATAATTTATATTTGTTATAAGATTGGACTAAATTATTGGTCGATACAATTGACTAGTTTTATTTATGAGTACAATATTACTAGATTTCTAAATAAATATATTTTGTTCAATTATTATAACTATTTATACGAAATAATGTTATCTTATCAAAAATATTTTTTATATTAATATTGATTTTGAACATCATGCTACTATTTATTTTATATTTTGTTGAGTACATGGTTTTATTTGAAATGTTAATCAATTAAAGATATATCTATTTGGAGTGGAAAAAATGTACCTGTAACATCAATAATTTGTATTTTGTTTGAATTAGATTTCTTTATTTATCTTATTATATGTATATGTACTATTACATTGATTTATAGTGAGAAAAATTTTCCAAGAAAATAACTCAACATTCGCTCAACTGAAATTGATTGGATTTTACAAATCACCGAACAATATTTATTAAATTAAAACAACCTTTAAGAAAAACAATTATAAGACTACAGACAGAAAAAAATGTTTTTGATTTTTTATGTGAAAATCAAATATCATTATGAAAACTGTAAACTTTATATCAAATAATTGTTAATTTTCAATATAAGCTTTACAGCTATTTCGTAAAATATAATAATATTTTAATACCATGACATAATAGCAATAAACGATAAGTATACATTATATAAGATTTATTATGATGTGTACAAAAATAATACGTAAAATAAACATGTTTTTGAATGTTCAACGGGAAAACTAATTGAAATAAACTCTTAACATAAGCGTGTAAAGAGTGTTAGTTACGTTCTATAGTAAATATGCAATAACAATTAACACTAAATAGTATGGTTTGTAACTTTTGTATATGTTTTATAATAATGCTATTATTATAGGTATTGATATAAAGTATTTGGACAAGTAAATATTTTTTCGAAAAAAAAAAATATATTTTTTTAACTGTATGACAAATACTCCCAATTCAGCAAAAGATTTGCTTTTGAAATGGCAACAAAATCTTAAATATACAAATATACTATATACTATTGGCTCCAAACAAGTGTCATTTTTTTGTTACGTTAATAAAAAAAATTGCTACATATTTTTTAGGGTGGCTGAGCAAAATTCAGTTCTGGATTACTTAACATAGAACCCGACCTTGTCCAATGGGTTCAAAATGAGTGTAATTTTGAAGAATAAATAGTAAATACAAAATACACTCGACATGTATCTCAACAATTTTTTTTTAAATTGTTCTAACCATATAATAAATTTATATAAAAAAAAAAAATTGTATCATATATTATCAAGCTTAGGCATTAACTTAATTTATTTCATTACTGATAAATTAAATTAACTTATTAACTTAACTCATTTCCTTACAGATTAACTTGAAATTGACATATTATTTTTGCATTTATCCAATTAAGTTAATTTAGATTTTCAAGACCAGAAAAATATTTTTAAAAATACCGCGTTCGATAACAAAGTAATGGAATTTAGAAAATAATAAAAATGTCGAAGAATTTTCAGATGAGACCATAATATTTATCATGGTATTAACTATTAATAGGATATTTTCAAAAGCATTTGATACTGTACCTCATAACATACTAACATATACATATATTATATCAACATGTATCGTGTCGTAATATTAATGTATGCAATTTAAGTTAAGTTTTAAGATTATAACATGCAATAATTAACTTATTTCTAGTTATATATTCTATGGAGTTGTAGTCTATAAACAGTGTTAAGACTTATCTAGATAAATGTATCTAGATAAATTCGTCTGTATGAAAAAAAAATATAAAAAATATAAATTTTTATTGTCAATTTATTTTATTGATAATTAATATTTGAAATATGAATTCTTAAATAATCACACAATACATACTAAAACTGTTATGAAGGTTCATAAAAATTACAATTTAATATGACATGTGTAAAATAATTTTTCCTTGATATTTATACTTATTTTGAAAATGTTTGTTCATTTATACTTATTGATTAATAATAATTTCTACATTCAACATTAATTTAAACATGTAACATGTGTTAAAATAATATTGAAGTAATAAATAGTCAGACTTGGATAGTATTCCTAATACAGTATTTGGAATACTTTTTAAATACTTTTTTTTACAAAGTTATCTTTATCTTTTTATCTTTTTTTTATCTAGAAAGAAATGTATTTATGTTTTATCTTTATCTAGATAGATTTAAATTTAGTTATCTTTAATAAATACTTTTTATTACAGTTTATAATAAACATAACAGTTTTTGCCGATTTTGAACCGATCAGACAAATTTGGGGTAATACGTGAAGTTGGCACTCCGAAGCTATTTTCGTCTGTATCACCGTAAGAAATGTATTGCAAATTTCTTTTATTAACTTTACAAATTGTTGCAAAAAATGATACTGGTTTGGAGCTGATTGGACAAAGTCGGGGTGCCAACTTCTCGTGCATCAATTATAGGCTGATATTTGGAAATATTTCATATACCTGTAAATACTATTTTGAGGAAGTGTGAAAAATCCTAATAAGATTAAAAGGCAAATTATTTATAGATACTCATCTGTAGATATGTAAATAGATGAGCCATATCTGTAATTAAATTCAAAATATCGTAGATGTTATTGGCTTTTACAAACCTTAATATTATAGGATAGTTAACATTTTTTCTCTGATGTCATCAATAATATTTAATTAATTAATTAAATTATTTAGAGTAATTACTTGAAAACGATTTTCATTTAGATTAGTTTGAAATTATTAATTTACAGTTAATTTCTCTATGTAGCCATTGATGGGTTGACTTTTAAAAGTTAGAACTCAAAAATTAAAATTAAATTAAATTTTACTATTTAAAATTAAAAGTTTAATAGTACAAAGAAGGAATTCGAAAATATATTTTTTTTACACGTTGTGATACACGTATTTAGTATATTGAAAAAACATTACAGATATGTACTTTGATCTATTCGAATTCGGTTTTATGTCTATTAAAGTAGATAATTGTTTATCAATGGAGTTATATTTGTAATTGATTTATTTGTCCATTTCGATCCTCTGAAACGAAGATGAATTGGTTGGTGAATTGGTGTCTGTACACTAAAATGGATTATATATGTAGGCGTATACATACCAAATATTTAGTAACACCGTGTAAGCGATTCCTGTGCACTAGAAGTGAAAGAACGAAACCATCACGTGTTTTATTCAATCGTGGCCTTTTAACTCGGGGGAATAAATAGTGGTAGGAGTAGCAACGATAGTAAAAATACCACGCCAGCAACGAATTCGGTTGCATCGAACGTACCGCTGTTGAGAGCGTGTTACGTTACACGTATACGTGCATATGTAAATCGAACGTACCTCTTTAAACGCGACACGAGCGTTCATTGAAAGATTGTGGTGGGCAAACCGTCCCCGCCGGAGTCATATAATTCGGCAAACAACAGACCACGTCAAACGTCAAACGGTTGGGCGCGTGGGCGATGGGTGGGGATGGAGTGCCGTCATCGTCTGGCACACCGTGCGGGTGCTGCTGTGCCGGAGAGTAGAAAGGGCTCATTGCCGCGGCCGTCACACAACTTCGGCGTAATAATTCGGCTGAGAGCAGCTTAGTCTTCCGCGGCAATTAACCCTAAATCACATTACGCACTTCCCTACCGCCCCGCATCGTCAAATCCGTCTACACGACCGTCCGCGGCGGTGCGCTGGTATTTGCACGTCGACTCGAGAGAGGGCTGCTATTACATAACAAATCGTCACGTCGCCTGTATGCCTTCATGTGACCATATGTATAATTTGAATAATATTAATAATAATAATAATTGTACGATGTTATACGTAAACAGCGATGTTCGCTGATTTTTCTGGTTACCGTTTACAGATGATTTAACTAGGGAGCAGCTTAGTTCCCCTACATATCTTCATAGCCCTCTCAGATTAAAAATAATTGCTCCTTCCCCAATATGTAAGCTCTAGTTATATATATATGTTACCATTTCTGATATTTCTCCGATAAGTGTGTAATGTAAGTGCAAAAAACCACTTTTCTACCAGGTGTTTTCGTGTTTTCCTATTTATTTCATTAAACGCCCTGTAGTAATGATGCGATTCGTGGAAATCTTTTGGGAGAGGGTGATAAAACAACTATTCACCTATATTATATGATGTTCACATTATCTGGGGGGAAGCACTCTTCTAAAATATGCAAACATTTTAGATCTAATAAAAAAAAATCAAAATTAATTTATAAGCAAATTTACTCTATTAATCGTCTCCCATTATATTGAAAAGGGTCGTAGTTATTCTAATCCTTGCATTCCATACTTTGAGTACAAAAATATATTGTTTTATAAAAAAATAATTTTTTTTTGTATATCATGTGTACTATATAAGTTATAATATTTTGTCGTTATGTTCGTTGCATGGAAAATAAAGGAGAAAATATCGCCCTGTATTTGAAAATAATATACCTCAAGTTCGTTTACTGATTGAATATGTTTACAAATTATAATTCAATTCTTCAGTAAAATACTAAC